CGGTAGTCCATTGACTGCAAAGTGGGTCGGACAATTCGATATAGTATTTCGGCTACTACAATTTGGGTTCGTGCATCTTTTTCCTTTTGGACCTTTTACTACATGATACGTGTACGTGTGGAAGAGGGAATGGTACTCGACGTTATCGAAAATTCGTCTCCGCCAGATAGTCACCACGGGTTGTAGCTCTGAAACGATTTCTGTAATACACTCGAGTTAACCCTCTTAAACGTTTTCAGAGATGTATACTATAAAAACGTCCTCCGCCGCCGCGTGGGCGTCTGTTCGAATTTCGGTGATACCCATCAGACACTACTCGTTCGGCGTGGCTTACTTTTAACCATTATACCTATTACCATTGTATTTATTAAGGTGGCGACGTTTTGAAATCCACGGGATATTACAATACTCGTTTTTGTACATTATTTGTAATTATTGCGAAAAGCGCAACGGTCAACCAAGCGTTCGTCGACGGCGACGGCAAAAGCATATGGAGTTTACATAAGAAGAGAAAAAGAGAGAGGTGTTACGTGAAGTGTATTTATCTGTATATAAGTACACGTTTGTGTAGTGTGTTTTAGGGACGCGCGCGCTCGCCTCCGGGGCAGATCATTCATAAACATTCTGACTGCATAGTTTTGTCGGTGTGCGTGGAATATTCAAATAGATCATTATTCCAACGATTAAAAATAAACGGAAAGGATTAAAAAAAGAAAAGAAACACTTATCCTGTTCATTGTCGGCGTCGAGTCATTAACCGCGGCCGGATTCCAATCGGCTCGCGAGTTTTTAACACACTTCTTGTAAACAATATTACACTATAATACCATGAATCATTTTCATATTTGTTTTATAATGTTTTTTAGTGCCGATTTTTTTAATTAACACACCTATTTGATTCTGATTTGACTTCAACGACCCAGGTCCCTAGACTCGAAAGTTCTTAATGTGGGCATTTATCAATATAATTGACATTAAGATAATATGTTAAAAACTATTTATCCAAAATCCGCTGTATCGAATTTCCAAGTGAAACGAGCGGTTGTATTCGACGTCAGGTGTAATAAAGATAAGATAACGGAAAGGCTGTAAGAAAAATGAATCCCTAATAAACGGTTCATTTTTTATGTACCTCAATATGATTCGTTAAAAACCCACGGGGATTGAGAAATGCCATAAAAAATAAATTATCCACTGGAGAAGTCATTATCCGTACAAGATATTCGTCTCGGTTGCACAGCCGAGGTATGGGATCGACTCGATCGTTAAATTTCAAGTTGATTTTATAAGGAGATCGTATGAAAATCCTTAGGAAAACAGATACGGTCGACGCTATAATATATTATGTTGTTATTATACTTGATTGTGATGCTGTATAGTTTATGACAACAATGAGTATTGTACAGTGTACCTAAGCAAGCGTTGTGCGTTTCGTGTAAGATTCTTTCTGGAATGTTGAACATAGAATTGTGTGTATTTTTTTGGATTCTGATGTGTATATCTACCCTTATTTAGTGATATTAAAAAATATAATATATTTCCTTTCCTGCTAACAATAATGTTATTTCTATAAGTTGTTATAATACATATTGTGAATTGCTTGAAACCGAATATATGCAGTTTGCATACACAGCCCACGAGTTCGAAACAACCCAAAATTAGTTTAAATAAAATTAATAAATTAACCTAGCATGGTTTTTTTTTTAAATCAAACATTTTTTTTAGTTTAAATGTGTTTTTTTTTAAACAAAGTTTTTACATAATATTCTTGTAGATCGAATGTGGTTTAAATGTGGTTCAGCTATGTATGTGTTATTTTTGGTTCAGAGAAAATAGATCAAACGGGAAATCAGTTTCAGCTATACATATAATCATAATAATGGAACGGACCATGGTTGTTTTTTTTTTGTGGTCAAACAGTCGTCGCTTACGTTTGACTATTAGGGAAAAAAAAAGCTCCCAACGGCGAAGTTAGAGCAAATCATTGCCCGTCCGAGCCACGTGATAATATTATGTACCTATATATTTATATTATTATACTCAAAAGAACGTTTGCACCGCAAACATAACGGACGGGGACGTGAGTCTGTAATACTGTACACAATTGGACAATCAGCGAAATAACTACAAAGTCATTTTAACGCACGCGTGTGTGTGTATAAGGTTAAGTGTGAAATTCCGCGTAACCACGTTACCGAACTGGTTTGTATGCTAACCGCGACCGTGCAATAATAATAATAATAATAATAATTATTATTATTATTATTATTATTACAGTTATGGTTATTATTGTAGTGTCATTGGCGGACGGATACCGCATGCGACGGGGTTAAAGCCGATGTGTCGGACAGCGTCGACTTAAGTCCCGGCCGAGTGTACGGGAATAATTTACTTCGGACTTGAAACTAACCAATCGTATTAACGGCTGTACCGGTGTCGCTGGTATGGCGTATCACGTTTTAATCGCATCGTGCTCGCGCTTAATAATTAGGTCGTGAAAAGCATAGCGTCGAGATCATACTTGGTATTATTATTATTATATACGAATAACATGTTACAAGTATACTGGACGAGTTCTCGGCCGCGTGTCGGCGACAGCGTATAATATGAGCTGTATAAGGATTCCCGTAGGTCGAGGCCCGGCTTAAACGCAACCTAGTGTAAATGCACACTAAGTACACTACATAATAATAATATTGAAACAATAACGGTAATACCTAGTCGACGTCGATGGTTTGTACGCGATTGAAGGATATAACGATAATCCGTCGCTTTTGAATTGACGACCCGTCATAGGTTATTATTACCTTAAATGTTTGGAAACTAACTGTTCAAAAGTTGTAAAACTTGTAGTAAAAAGGTACGTAAAAAAACAAAATTTGTTGTTACATCATTTCGTCATTAAAAAACTAAGTGTAATCTGTTTACTTTAGTGCTGTTCTTTGAATAATAATTATTGTCGTCGTCCGTTCGGCAGGTGTATTAATAAAAATAATTCGCCATGAGCTAAATACGTCCGGTTAACCGTTACTAGACGGGAATCGTTTAATAAAAGCGCGTTCGAAACCGGATTCGCCAAATTTCTAATCTACTATCCGGATAATTAAACACGTGTGATATACACGATTTATATTATTTTGTTTTATCGCACTTGCTCTCAACTCGGTGCAGCTATTACGGAATAGACGACGTCCTGATTTCATTAACCGCGTTCCGAGTCGGACGTGCACGTGGGTAACCAAACCGATAAGCATCTATTCCGCATGGATAATATATACCGGACACGACGCCTCTCTGTTGGCATGCAACACCACGAAAGATCATAATAATAATATTACACTCCAGCTAAAATAGCCATTAGATTTGCCACTGAAAAACATTGCATCTACCATAGGAAACACGTGAGTGTATTGCATGGAATTCCGTTCTCGCTGTAATGACAAAATCCCACTGGTATTATTTTAATACCGTCGTACTTAAGTGCACTCTGCGTTTCGAATGCAATATAGTAATTATTAGGTTTACCGCCGATACGTCAGCATCGTCGATGATTTCGAAGAAAGGTCTCGGGTCGCCGGGACTTGGCGTCTAATGACTACCGAGGTCGCCGCAAGGAAAGGGGAAGCCCCTAGGTCTGACTAGTTTATGTGTGTACAACACTGTACGTTTCTCGGACTGCTAAATCTGTACGGTGCGAGGGTATAATATACATCTCACATATGTGTGTAAAACAACGATTTTTTTCCATTAGGGCGCAGTCACGAATCGGCAGATGTTGATCACCTGCCTCCGGTTCGACGGCTACACGGACCAATCTCGACGCGTTCAATAACGCATAGCACCGCTAATTGACTCGTTGGATTTTTTAAAAGATTGTTTTATTATACTCGGCACTTATTAAAACATGTACAGCGGTTACAACGTGCAAACCCGAATGGCTACCCACTCGAATTATTAGGTGGTTTAGGGATTCGTTGTCGGGAGACAAACGATTATTTGTAGAGGCCCCAGTAATAAAACCATTAGCCGAGGACTAACCGTGACACTGCAACGAACCGGTGCCTTACAATGTATAACAGTATCGTTAGAGCGGCTGTGATATAACGCGGTTTATTGATATATCATTATATTGTTAACGGTCGATTGTGATGGAGATTTGCGCGACGGCGATGCGCGTTTGGAATTCATGTCAAGGCGAATGAGAAATCCGCGATAGCCGACTTTTAATCCGACTCGGAGATAAGTGTCGCCGCGTTAACGTGCATCTCGGACAAGGCAGTAAATACCTATGGAAAAAAAAAATTATTATATTATAATGCCACACGTGCATCGGCCTAGCCGGTTTTGCAACTACAAAGTCTAATAATATCAATATGTTTACAGTTTACTGCGGGCGTTCAACTAAAATGCACCGAGTCGCATTATTTTGCAAAATTAATTTCTTTTATTATACACAATATCATTCCAAAATATATTAATTATTAGTAACTCTAAAACGGTACGCGTTCTGCAAGTGCTTATTTGATCAATTATCAAATAAAGCTTACACGAAACAACTAAATCTTCTTGGTCGCAAGGCCCTTCGGGCATCCGGTATCGCATCTAATTCACCGTGGTCTTCTCTATCTTCTGCTGGTTATTTTGAATCTTAGTATTCACCTTATTATACCCTTCTTCTTTTTTTACAACAACTTTCTGTCTCGAATAGCTCTTTAGTAATACAATTTGGAGAAAAAGTAATTCGTCATCTCTAAACGTGTCCATCCCACTTTTTTCAATCGCTTTAATTTGTTTTTTTTTTTTAATTAATATCTCCGTATTTTTGTATGTCACATACAGTTTAACATCGACGATTATATTATAACGCATGTGTTTGATGCAGTTTAGGTACTAGTTAAATAGTATAAAAACGAATAATTATTGGTGGTCAATTTGATTTTAACGGTTAATTTTTGTGTTTCAGGACAATGCGAATGTTTGGAAAGACGAGCCCGAAAAAGGAGCAGTGCAAAGGCCTACCTCTGGTAACACCGTCAGATATGGACGGCCGTTTTTACCAGACGGTCACAGCCGTGCCGGCCATCGTACTAGAAGACAGTCCCAAATCGGCAGAAGTCAAGCGAAGTACGTACATTTTATTGACTTATTAAGATTAAAGAAAGAAAAATTATTTTGACTTTGTATAAATAGAGTATAACCATGAAGACTAGAGATATATCCAATCTCCTTAACTATAAGTTATCCGACCATGTTGATAAATAAATAAAAAAAGATTATTTTTCATGGTATTTTCGGGTTTTATCGTCCGTTTAGGAAATCATTGTTTTAATCATCGTTTGGAATTCTCGACGTTAAATGAAAATCAAAACAAAAGTACTCCGTCTTTATGACTTATTGTTTTTATAGCGTGCCTGTACACCGTTGACGGGGTAGGTATATGGAACTCGCATATTTAGCCCTGTGATTATGTTTCAGGATTGTTGACAATTTAGCCGACCCCATTTAGTAAGGAGTGTAAGGCTAAGATGAAAATTGTTGGCAACTTGTAGCTTTTATAATAACAAATTATAATAACAAATTTATATTTATACTTTTTTTAATTAATAGTTTAACTTGAACAACTTGATAGCGATTTCAACTAACTACGAAAACGTTTCGTTTAACCAAATTCCTTACGGACAAAGTTGGGTAAAAAAAAAATCGAAGAGCGTTCGTTAATCATTTGTCGATGCTTATCATTGCCTCATACAGCCTTGCAGTTTCCATAATAATGATAATATTGTCCGTCCTTAGCTCGCTGGACATTCAGATAGTCGCGTTTTTCTTTTACATAATAATTATGGGCGTGGGCAATCGCACACGTTGAATAATAATAATAATAATAATAAATTACAATCGAAAATGAATTGCTTTTGCATTTGGGCAAACTGTAAGGCGCGCAAGAACATCTCGTGTGCACCTGTATTCAGTGTTCGCCTTGTAAACTCCGCCATATTTTTCTAATATTAATAATAATCTTTTACTTTTACTTCAGCAATAATTTGCAACCTCACGTACAATATGCCGCATTAATTATTATATTGAGAGAGTGATGCTGTGCTTTTTTCCAGTTAACAACAATACGGCCTCCGTTGGTCTTACCGGTGACGCAACGGCACGACCAAACTACAAAAGTCACACGGATTTCTCGAATCCGTAAATCTATAATTCCTGCGTACAACTGTATGATTAGTCTTCCGCCGAGAATTGGATAAATTATGAGAAGCCACTGAACCATGGCTTTCACTCTTTAATTAAGTTTTTTAGTTTTTCTTTTCACTCAGATTATCTTAATGCATCTTCGTGACCTATTCATGTCCACGACCTTGTCATCAGAAAATGTGAGTCCATTTTCCACCTATAATTATTAATAGTGAAACAAAGCATGTAACCATTTCGTTTCAAAATGTATTTTTTTTAAATTTAATTAGGTAGGTTATTTTTTTTTATTAAAAACTGATTATTATTACTATGCTGTCTACTTAATCTTACTTTATCTTTACAGTCTAACAAGGTCCGGCATCTTGATGACTTAGTTAAGTACAATGACAAATTATTATTACTCAAATTGCGAGTAAAAAAAAAATTAATTAAATGTATATTCCAGTTTATTGAGTGACAATCTAATATTCACTTTTATGACAATACTAACTACTGGCTGCTGTTTAATTTCAGGGGTTCATTAAAAAGTAATATTTATTAACATCCCTTAAAAAACGAAATAAAATAAATATTTCCTTTTTACATATTTTATTAAATTATCCCTTATAGTTTTTTTTTAATTTCCTTTCTTTTTTCGACGAAAAGATAAGCGATTCAATGGGAAATTACCGTTTTAGATCACTTCACACGCTGTCATACTAAAATTTAACTTAATGACCACGATAATAAAATATTAAACATATTTTTAGAAATGTGTTAAATTATGTTATATAGTTATAGTCACCCGTATGCAGAGTTAGGCATCATACGATTGAAACGTATCTAAACAATCATCTAGATAGCCTGATAACACATTATTCAAGTAAAAGCTACCTATTCAAAAAGTATAACTTTTTATTCGAAAAAATTCAAATTAAATTATTCGAATTATCTTCAAAGTTGAATAATTTTTCATTAAAATCATTTTCTATAAAAATATTTTATTCAAATCAATTTTTGTTCGGATAATTTGTTGAATAAGAAATTGCACAGCTCTGTCCATAGGATGCGCCGGTATCGTGTCCGGTGTCAATTTAATGCAAGTACAATCGTCGTCGCACGTTTTGTACGCGTGCAGTAATAATTACTTTTCTAGTACTATTACAACTACTACTACTACTACTACTACTACTAGTGTTACTAGTGTGCTACTATTAACTTTATTACTAGTATTTAATGTACAGCTACTATTCGACACTACTACAACGGTTGGCTACAGTGCAGTTTTTTTTTGCCGCATAATAATATGCACATACCATCAACGCTCTCGTTCCGGGCAAATACCGTTCCGTTGCATTTCACACACATACACAGTCTACATATACTGACAACACTCACACTTGACTGCTACTTAAAAAAAACATACTAAATTAACATTATGTTTTGCTCAGCGGTCGAGACGTCTACGCGAACGAGAGAGACGTAAACTTTTTTTAAACGTCTCCTTGTTCCTATCCGTTGCACACGTGAATCATTGGCTCGACATAACAACATAACGGTTGTATTGATATTTCGCCGTTCGATTTCTTGTGCAATAAGTGGTCCGATTCGATTTCGTCTAAACGCCGGCAAATTATCTCTTCGGACCACAAAAATATATTAAAAAGACAACCTTAAAAGCGCGAATTTCGGTTAAATCGGGTGTTTAATTAGTCAAGAAACCGGTTCATCCGTGCCGGTAACTCAAACGGGTAGACTTTCCATCTTTATTGAACACCACCCTCTTGGACCGCAGTCGCCGCACCCCCCTCTGCAAACTTTCATAATGTAATATACTATACTTGTAACGAACGCGGACCATACGCCTTCTCCCCGTGCGACATTTTATTGAAAAAAAATCTAATTAAGTACCGTTTAGCAATATTGCTGGCACACACCGACCAGTGTCCGGTTATAGATAAGTACTATCCACATGTGCCATGTCGGACCGATGCGTAATAATCGTTACAGTAGAACAGTTATCGTATAACACGAACGATCGGTTTCACCGCGAGCTAATTAATTACTACTACTTATACAGTTTTGATTCTGTTATATGTAATCTAATAACGTGCGATTTCATAAACACCGCAATCGCACAGGACTCTTAACAGATGTTGTACGCCGCCCAAACGTTGCCGGAGGTATACACTAGGTATGATTTGTATTTGTTTTATAATATTCTTCTTTGGTGTATGACGTTTAGGTACTTTTGCTTACGTGATATTATTTATGTATCTCTTCCCGACGCGACGTCTAGCGCTTATGTAAATATATACTGTATAATTATTAGTTTACCGAGATGGCGCAAATGCCTGTTAACGTGTTCTGTAAAACAATCGTTGTGACACCCAAACACTGGTACGATAACACGGAGCGAGAAGGTTGTAATAATATCACACTGCCGGCAAACAGCATCGTTACCCAATCAACAAACTATGATCTCAAGTTGATTAAACCTTTTACGGTAGATTGCCTATATAGTTAAAGATTAACCTTGTATGACACAGATTCTTTCGTTTTTTTGTATGTAAACAATATTTGGTGTTTAGATACTTTAGAATATATAATAGTATTGTTATTATGTCTTAGAATTCTGAAAGGTTTATTTGTTATAACAAATTAAAGCTAATATAAAATAATAATTTTTATTGTGCAAGTGGGGAAGAATGAGAAGAGATAGCCTCTGCTAACAGGAATTGGTTTTTATTGGTTCGCAGTAACCAATATCTATCTGGCATGGTGTTCGTAGACACGACAATAAACGCGTACTGGGTATGTTATTTTCAAAGAACAGAAGCACCGCAGACCTTAATGTGTATAATTAAACGAGGAAAACGGTCGTTTCCTCTTAGGCCCTATTGAAATTACTCGTGTACTGTTGCCGGTCACTTCTACTTATATAGTCTAATTGATTTTTATTTTTATTTCAATCCCATCGAATGCGCCGATTAATTACTCCCGACGTTGCGCGCAGGTACTTTTTTATTCTCTACGGTCCGCTGAAAACTCGTACCACAGCGGTGCACACGCGGTTAAAACCTGATTGCTTTTTTTTTCTTCGTACACTCATATTATTATATACGCATGGATAGTTTTATAACATTTTATTATTATTATAACGTCTCCGACTCGATCGGAAAGCGTAATGAAAACATTCCTAGACGGCGACCGCAGTGTTGGCTTTCCGTTCACGCAGTAGTAGGTACCGGTGTTAACCTAATCATGTCAATAAAATATATAATACAGTGTAGCTGATATAAATAAATACATTATATAGTAGCTGTTGTGTGATAATATTCTAAAACGGCCGACGCCTAGACCGAGAAAACGCCGGTAGGCTTTCGCTGTACTGTACAGTATGCACGCGTGTAACATGAGTATCATAATAATAGAGCAACCCTGAAACCGAGGACGGTAGTTTTGTTAACAAATCCGACTTATCGCGCGAGAACGTTGACCTTTGTCAAAAAACTTTAAACGCGGAAGTATCCGTCTTCGACTCTGCTTGGACAGGAACCCTGCACATGTCCTGTCAATCTGTATGCTCTGCCGCGGGTTATTCGTCCGCCGTCCTCGCGCATCAGACGATATACTATTACTAGAACGGATATAATATTATGTAACATTATTTTCTACATACTACTTTTAACGTCTTTTACAAAAACACCTAGTCTCTAGCAATGAAAATCGTTCTTGCTTATGTGTACTGCGATTGCGTGTAATTCCGCTAAAATAAGTGGAAAGTGGCGCTGGAAATATTAGAAAATCTCCTTTCCTAATGGTGCTAAGCATACCCGGGCTCCCCCTCAAATATTATTGTTATTCAAATTATAATTGTTGTTGTTATTATGTTTATGCATATCTGTCGGTTGCGCTAATTAATTGGCTATCGGTTACTTACCTTATGAAAAATCACTATTCGGCGCAGAGATTTATTCGAACCACTCGGTGCAACCGCAACCGAACAATAATAACATTTGTCTAGCGGCGATACGCGTCCCATACGTATTGGTGTGTATTAAATTAAGTGGCGCGAGTTGGTAATACACACATACGATAATAATGAATTCACTATTAATAATATCGCGTCCCGAGGGCAAATACTTAACCCTTTTATTGTGTTTTGGGCGCTAACGACCTTGGGACGGTAATGAAAATTCGGACGCACCTAGCCGTAAACCGGACAGCCTTGGGCGTGGACGACACTCGACCAGCGTAAATGGCCGACAGTAAACCAGGCACTGATAAACTACATGTAGTAAAAGCCATTGCAAAACTCGCATCGAGATCGCGGCCTCAACAATATGGTACCTATACGGACTCATTTATTATGATTTTTCAAATCGCAATCGAAACGCGTTTGTACGTATATATGAAAAGCAATCTGAAGGCTATTAGAGCGCGTTGGTTAATTAACACTGAACCATTGTGATCGGTCGGAGGAATGCGTTCTTAATTATTATCACAACCGTCTAATCGTTTTTTTGTTTGTGGCCGTTGAAGAATGTAGCTTTTCAAAATAACCCGGGAGTGATGTTTCATTATAGTTAAATATTTTTGTTTCAGAGCTGATCACTTGGGGCAGAAAGATGGGCAAGCGGCTGGAGGTGTTGCGACGGAGCGAATCGCGTGACTCACTGGATAGCCTGTCGTCGAGGGACAGCGCATCGACCACGACGGCCAAAAACCACTCCACCTGGTCGCTCGGCCAGTCCAACGAGAAGTCGTCCACCCTTAAGGGTTTCTTCAACCGCATCGGGTCCACCGGCATGCTTAGCTATTCGCGATTGTACAGCAACAGCTTCCGCGACAAACTTCAGCAGTCGAGGAAGCCGCCCGACGACTGTCAGCTATACAGGAGCGTGTCCACTTCGCACCTGGCCGCGTCCTACATGAAAGGCGAAGACCCCGCCGACTGCCTGGACCATCGCGCCGACCCGCGGACCGTCGGCGACAACCACGACAAATGTGAGCTGACCGAATCGCCCACCGAACCCGGTTACGTGCCTCTCAAGACGCGTAGCTGCGATAACATATCCAAACTGGGCACGTCCAAAAAACCCAATTTTCCTTACGCGTTCCTCAGGTCTCGGTTGTCGGTGCTGCCCGAAGAAAACGGCGGCAGCGTCATCAGCCACTTGGCCCGGGCCAGCGTCAAACAGCGCAGCGGGCCGGCGCTCGAGAACCACGAGATAGTAGTCACCGAAGAACTGTTCAAAGAGATGGACAACGACCGGGAGTACCGGCGGGTGTTTAGTAACTTGAGTTCTTCAAACGAATCCGGGTACGACAGCGACGGACCACGTACGCTGGAAGCGCCCTACCATCACCACCATCATCAGAAAGCCGCGGACGAAGACAGCGGGTTCGGCGACACCAAGTCGCTGGCCACGGACAGTCTCAACGATTTCGAGGAACACGCCGAGCCGGCGCCCACTTCTCGACGGCACAGCGACAAAGACTATAACGTGCCGTCGATGTGTCTGTTTTACAAGAAGAACCGGGAGATTAACGACCGCATTCGGTCAGATGGTCCGTCCAAGGAGACTCCCAACTTCAATAGGCGAATGTTCGTCAAAAACCGATCGTCGCCGTCGTCCAACGCCGACGGCAACGACATGTCCTCGCTGCCGGCCGATCTCAACAACTTGCGGTCCCGCATCCAGGTGGTCCGATTGCTGAAAGCCAGGTACGACGACGACATTGGGATCTACCTGAAAATGGTCGTCAAACACGTGGTCAGCTACAGTGAGACCAGGTTCTTTGTCGTCAAGTTGGAACCCGGCAAACTGGCCGACAGGTATAGCGAATTAATGCACTTTTTTTCCCCAGTATAATTTCTAAATGCGGAATGTGCTTCTTTTTTTTTTCTACAGAGACGGCCGGATAAGCGTCAACGACGAGCTAATCAACGTCAACGGCCGGCTGTTGCGAGGAATAGCCGACATGTGCGAAGTAGAGAAAATCCTTAACCACAGCTTACCAGCGGCCGACAAGTATTACGTCGACATAGTCGTGTCCAGGTCGAACGAACCACAGCTCTCGCACCATAAACGGCCGTCGGCCGACTTTGGCGTCTATGACCCCAAGCAGAACGCCGTGTCCGTCATCAACCGAGTGTTGGCCAGCAAAATGAACTGTTCGAAATCGTTACCACCGCCACCGGCCATGAGCACCTCTTATGCGTCTGTCACGTTCTACAAAGGCGCCGGACACAAGTCGCTGGGTTTCAGCATTGTGGGTGGATCCGATTCTCCCAAAGGCGAAATGGGCATTTTCGTCAAGACCATTTTCACCAGCGGACAGGCTGCCGAAAACGGTTCTTTAATAGAAGGTACGTTCGCTCTGCAAAAAAACAAAACCCCATCAACGTTATAAGCCAAGGGTATAAAAGTCTCGTATCAGTAGTTTTGTGGTTTAAGTTGGGTTTGGAAAAAAATGTATTCCAAAATTTCCAAAAAACAGAATATCCGTCAAATTTGGATTTCAGTCCTACCCTTATATTAGAAAGTGCGAATGATCTAGAGTTTATTGAGTCTGATTGAATCCCAAAGCACGGTGGCGAAGCTGAGATTTTATACGCCGGGGGTGGGTCATGCATTAGCCCTACTTAAGAGGAGTTTGTAAATTAAATAAAGCCAAGTAAATTAACCATTTTAGTGGGATTATAACACCCTAGACCAGCCTGTTTACATGACTACTGATAAGGTCCGCGTTGTCACGTGGTCGGGTTGACAGCGATGAGTATTTTTTTTAAGTGAAAGTAAAACACGACAACGGATTTAAAGATGAAACGGTTACGCGAACATCTCAAAGAGTGTGACCGTAGCTGAGATCAGAAGGTCGAAGACCAGCGAACAATATCTTTTGTACAATTAATTTCCAAACCCGCGTCGTCGATACGTTTTAATTCGATTTTGAATAGGCAGTTCGACCGCGAAACGGTTTCGAATAAGCAACATAGAAATGATTGGACTACTCTTTCTTTTCCTATTGTACCCGGAATAATTGTTCTGTACATTATGTAACTGCAGTAATACGTTTCTATTGTATTGGCTATAGGCGACGAGATACTGCGGGTGAACGAAGAATCGGTTGGCGGTATGACACACGCCCAGGCCATAAACTGTTTCAAAAAAGTGCGCCAAGGCCCGGTTGAAATAAAAATATGCCGAAGAAAGCTGGTTCCTGGCACAAAGTGAGTTCATAACAATTCGATGAAACATATTTTAGAAAACAAAATTACACAAAGATGTACTTAACTTCTTTTTTTTACCATTTTGTTTCAGCCCCAATGTCATCGACGACAACCTGTCGCAAACTTTTTAACTAAACCGTCGCCTGTTCTCACACACAAAGAGTCTTACTCTTCATTGTTTTTTTAATGCAGTTTGTACATTATAAAGATTAGCATTTAATTACTATTACTGTTATACTGTCGCCTAAGCGATATACCTGTACAACGCGTTAATTGGTTAGAAAGTCAATGTATTTTGATAATAACATAACTAAATAGCTCGAATTGATGAGCATATTTTATTGACTTACTTTATATTGATCGATACTCACTATCAACTCACTACGAAAAAAATGTATTATAATATGCATTTAAATTTGAGTCTTAAAATTTTTTTTTTGCATACATTGACTTCAAATACTTAACACGCTGCTTATATGATTACTATATGTAGTATTGTGTATATTGTGTGTACTAATTATACTCGCTTGTGTTTCATCAAATATTGTTATTACCGCTAATCGGATCAGTTGTATGATTTGACGTCGGTACCATGAATTTTTTTTTATAGTGTAAAGTTATTAATTTTTTTTTTAATACTTAGTCAACTTAGTATTATCGCGTCCTTTTTTTTTTTAATTTTACAACAATAAATATAGCACCAACATTTTTTTGTAAATAATCGTTTTAAACTATTTACACCAACCTCGACCTTTTTAGATCAAACTAATTGTATTTGAACTCGGATATTCGATAGTTAATTTAACTCAACAGCAAAATCGTTATTAGTATTATATAAATATTATGAGTTAGGTGTAGTAGGTAATTTGTTGGATACATAAATAACTCAAACATCATAATAAAACTATCCCGACCGCCGTTAATTTGTACATAATGCGTTCATTGTATTTTTACCGGTCAAGAATTTCACACGTTTTATACGTTGTAATACATGCATATTTTACATAAGTTATCAGAGAACGCCGGAAGTAAAGTATGACTATTACAGCCGTTACAGGACTCAGATAGAGTTTTTTTAAAAATACATAAGCTATTGTCTGCCTGAAAATTAATAATACTACTAGGTAAGAGGAACAAATATTAACATTAGGAAAATATGTTAGTTTTTATTACGGTATCTGTATTGTTTGGTACCTGTATGAATAAAACCAATTACTGACAAGCTTTAATAGTACGACACTTACAAATGCTTTACGCCTTAAATGCTGCTTCCAAACATACACTGAAGAAATAGTATTAGGATTAGAATAGTAGTAGGATTTGTACCTATATTATATTTAGGCGCAATAGTCGAGTTACAATAATATATTCGATTTTAAATAAAAAATAAAACTATAAAGTGACTGATAAAGTTTAAAGTAATTTTTGAATTAATTAGTGGTAGAGTAAGGTAAAATATACACTATTGTATTTAACATGAAAAACACCACCAGATAAGTTAGTTACGTTTAATATATTGCATAATATTATTGTAATTTCCTTAACGAGTTTTTAACTCAAAAAGATGTAGGAATTTGTTCAATTTCTTTTATAAATAACAATAAAATTACAAATAAATTGAGGTCATAATTTGTATTACCGTAAAAAGAAAGCGATCAGCTTCTCGTAACAGGTGTGAATTTTACACTAACCAAAGCTGGGCAGAACTAAGTGGTTAATGCTCTTATATAAGTCTTTATAAGTATATATATTATATAGGACATAGTATTGTTCTTAGCGGGTTACGGAAAGATATTTTTATTTAAAAAATGTCTGTTATTTTTTTTCAACTGTCAACTTAACATAATCGTCGTTTCCAAACTGTGAAATGTTGTCGGATTATAATATAAAGAAACTGTAGTCAACCGACCAAAGTTTTTTTTTAAATTTATACTTTAAGTGTAACTAATACCGCGACTTACGTGCCAGGAATTATCACCTTTCGTCGAATAATTTGCATGTTTTTCATACTACTTAAATATTTATTGTCAAGCTCCATTTGCATACTTAGACCTCTGAGTTTACTTAACGTTGTACTTATTTTTAGGTACAAATTGTTTGTTGACACACAACGCACTTTCAAAAAGTGAACTTTTTCCTATTTCTTGTCGTCAAGCGACTACAAGATTACCGAGAGGAGTAAAGGACCACTCGAGTCAAGATTATACACATACCAGACGACATTTGATCGCTCGATAATAAAAACAAAATATAAAATAAAAAAAGAAACTAATCCTCGACATTGACACCTATAATAATATTATTGTGTTCGTGGACAACGCAACGACGGAAGACCTTCAACTTGGTCTCGCTACGATGCGACGCGTGCCCAAAACCGTTCGATTAAATCGCTTCTATTAATTCACTTTGGTACATCGATATTCATAACTTTCTCTTAAAACCCAATAGATAGTATTAATTACTTGGTTACAATTCGTCACGGCAGGTTTATCATAATCATATACAATTTTCTCTTAGTAAGAACCAGCTAAGAATATTTAAATTATTATTAGAAAAATTTCACTACGATAACGAATAATAATAGGACCGTTCCATACGATATTATAAAAATAATTATCACACCATGATCAGTAACTGATCAATATGTTGAATGGTTGAAAACCATTTATTCGAATTCCACTAAAGTGGTCAAAAGTATTAGAACATGTCCTAATTTTTTGACTGACTGACAATTTTTCAGTTAGCTCCACATCAAAAACGGATTCCAAATTAGGATGATAATAATATAACAAGGAAAAATTAAGAGTGGAAAGCAATTGTGTTTTAAATAACTAATAAAATATAAAATATTGGTTTTTAAAAAATGTACTTACACCCTTTTGGTTCTCATTACTTCGGATTATAAACATTAACAGATATCAATAAAACATAAATAAATTGTAAAATACAAAACAAGTAAAGAAAAGTGCTTAGCTTTTTATTTTTATAAAATTTAAGTGTCACTAATGGGTGACTTCTTTATCAAATATATCATATGTTTTGTATTGTAATAACACATATACTATTGTGCTATAATAAATTGTACAGATTGTATATTTTCTCAATAAAAAAAAAAGGTTTTTTATTTCGAATAGCACTGTTAATTTTTCACAAATTTCCGGCTCATTTGATCTAAAGTGAAAAACATGTAATGTTTAGTATAAGTTTACAGGAATACTTCTTTTGCAATTTTTAAACCCACATTCCACAATGTATTAATTAATGTATTAACTAATGTATCTGTTCAAAGCAAAGGTCACATCAATTTAAAACCTCAAACACAAATGTAATAAATAAAGATCCGTAGTCCTTTAACAAGAATTTAATGTACAAATATTGAGTTTGTTTATTTTGTGTTGAAGTGTCAAATTCTTACTAGTATAATATTATATATTTACAAATCAAACGCTATAGCCAATTAGACAATGAAAAAGAGAATCATAACTATCCAACAGATATACGAAACGATTAATATAATTTTAGTTTAACCTTCGGCCATCAAGTATGAACATTAAATGTACTACGAAAAATAACACTTTATTTTTAAGGCGATTTTCAAGGTTCGTATTGGAACGTTTGAAGAAAAAAATAACGTTTTTCAACAGATTATAATTCTTATTTGACCAACATTACTTTTTAGAGAAAACGGCGTGAGTAGAATATTAACAAAAGGTTTTTTAGCAGACGAAAACATGACACTTCACAAGGTAAAAACAATACTGCTTTTGATAACTAATTTAAAATTATGTATAAAAAACAATTTCACAGACGCGGATATAAATTAAAAAGCGTATTTGTTTATCTTTCAAAATGTATGAACACAAAAACATATATTTTCTACGCGATAAAGAAGTCTGGAGAGTGGGCCCCTCTACCATAACCGCCGATGGTAAAAAATTATATATTATAGCTTACCTAGAAGTTAGAACTAATATAAACTTTTTTATTGGGTGTCATGCTAACTCAGAAGAGCGAGCCGGAATCCTCCCAAATATATTTAAGTGGTTCAATCTATAAAAGCGAGCAAATTCGTTTAAAAGCTGTCGTACCTACTGTTGAGCCAATTTTTTCTATAAATAGACTTGGACGACAATACAGTTGAATTGCGGTAGAAATCAAATTTTCTCTCTACTTGCCCGCTTTCGATGAATAAATTGATTAAAAAACCTTAATTAAAATTCTCGTCGCTTAGCGTTGTGTGATCCTGGTCGAAAAGTCTAAGGTCAGGAATATTTTGATATTATGTCTATTATAATACCAAGGATATCATCCTGGTTCTACCGTCTATAGTACACTTTACCGGCTATGTTATTACTTAATAGCAGTATAGAGATAGAATTATTAAGAGAGTTTAGCGCATAGAACAAATAAAATTGCACTTACGGAATAAAATAATAACAATAATATAATTTATCAATATACTAAAATTGTTTATAAGATTATCGAAGCGATAACGGCTGTCGTCAATAATGTCACCCAACAGTGGCAACACCGGAAACTTGAAGACGGTGAGCTGGTTGGTACAGACGCGGAAGGCGGAATGGGCGTAGTGGTACTGGTGGTAGTTTCTCCGGACTTTGGAGGACTTGCGATTTGCATGAGCATGGCCGTTGCCGTTGTGGTCTCGGTCGGTATCGCTCTGGCAGTTGTGGTTGTCTCAATAGGTGCTGTAACAACCGTCGGTGTCGCGGCAGTAGCCGTGGCCGGTATTTGGGTGTCGGGGGCCGCCTGAAGGTGCTTCTCAGTGGCGGACTGGATGTTCGGCGTCTTCGGAACATAACTCACGGCGGCAGTGACCGTGGGCGGTTTGTGGGTGGTAGCGGACGCCAAGAGTTCGGATGGCGGCGCTACTGACGTTGAATTCCAGGCATCGTCCATGTCCATGAAGACGTCGCTTGCGAGTGTCACTTCTTCGTAGTCGTTGGTGGCGGCCGCCGCCACCGTATTTGTCTCGCTATCACTGATGTTAGCGACCGCCGTCGGTTTGGTGGCGGCGGTATCCGTGCCGGCGGCCACCAACAATAGCGCCAACGCCGCCAAACCCATGTGCACGTCAGACGTCATAGCGGACAATTGAAACATTCGATGGTTTTCCGCGGCCAGAACGCGGTGGCATGTTTATTTTTAAACTTTTGCCCGGTATCTAAGGCCGCTGCAACCGCCGCCGATAACGTAACCTTGTCCGTAATGCCAAATATTCGCAAAACAATTTTATTGTTTAATTTATCGTTAATCAGCCGCGGCCGCAAGCGATGCGCCCAATGTACGTGTCTCGGACGCTCGAGGTGGGACTTATTATTTGTATGTTTGCAAACACGGTTCGTGTCTACGTTTTCAAAACATGTACACTATAAAAACAATTTTACGATTAATTGTCTCGCGAAATAAGCGATTAGAAATTATGAAAAATAATAACACTATCGTTAACATTTAATTATTTGTGGTTTGTCATTTGTCAAAATTAACTGTTTAATAACTACACAACACGTTGTAATACATGTGATAGGAAGTTTTAAATTTTTTATTAGTAAACAATAATCAATCAAAAAAGTCCATCAAAACATTTAACTCTGTGCAACCCGTATTAACAATTTTGCATTTTTGAGCGAGTTAATATTATTTGGTAAAAAAACAATGTTTTATGACGCCAACCGAAGCTTCTCTCTTTTTACTATACAAAGATAAATGAAAAGTAGAATAAAAAAAGGCTGCAATAAAATTGTTTCAAACAAACAAAACCTTTAAAAATTCAAATCTTATTAAAATATTTTGTAACGTGGTTTGCGCAAAAATTATTTTTCCTTAATAATGTATCACTATAAATACATATTAAATATTATGTAACTTCCCTATTCTTGATTATTATTTATTTTAGATGACTGTTCTGACAGACTAATAAACAACTTCTTAAATCAACGCACTGTGGTAAATGTTATAGTGAAAGCATTAAATGTGCTTATTATTTAAATAGAGTAAGATAATAATTTATTTTTGTTGAAAAATCGTATTTATCTATGGAATTAAAATTATAATGGTGTTATCAATGACAATAAAATAAACTTCTTTAGTCTTCAGTTCTAAATGGAATATTGGACACAAATGTCATATTCGTTACTACCATTTCTTTCACTACAAATATCATCTACCGAATTATTTTTCGATTAACTTATCTACCTCAACCATTAAATCTTTCTCATCCTAACTATTCTATTTTATACCTTTCATTCAACATGCCCAAACAATTTCAATTTTTTTTTTATCTATTACTGGGATAATATAGTATCAATAGTAAATAGTACAAACAAACACGTTTTTTGTATCAAAATTGAGAAATAAATATTTATGTATTTTGGAAATATTAACAATTAATAAACAATAAATAACCATACTATGAAAACAATAAAATAATTCATAATTCATCTTGATAAGTATAAATATATAGCAAAAAAAAAAAAAAATAGTAATTGTTGTACCTTGTAATAGTTGATTATATAAATTCAGTTAGACAAATAAAAGTAACAAAAAAAGTCTATACAAAAATTTAAGGCAAAATTACTCATATTTATTTAAACTAGTATCTTTACGCCAATTGGTTTTTCCTACAGATTGGCGTTTAGGCCCAAACAGGTTGTCACAATAAGTTTTAGTATTTTTTTCACTGTCGTCTTGACGATCTTGTTTATTATTGTCTTCTTTGTTTGGTTTCCCTCTCCAATTCAGCTTATCATTACTTTTATCAATTTTTGATTTAAAATTTAAATTACTATTACTCTTCACCAATTTATTATCTTCAGAAGAAATACTTGTGCTTTCCAAACTATAATCTTCGTGGAGTAGAGGAAGTCTACCAGATCCAATTCGGCCACGGTTTGACCTATTAGCATAATTGGATCCAGATGTGTTTACATTATTCTTTTCGGAAGACAAACTACTCGAAGGTTGATTTGGTTGATTATTTTTTGAATGATTCCAATCGGATTGCTTTTTATATGGACCACGCACGCTGCCGCCGCCTCTAGGTTCATTATGTTGTCGATAGTAACATTTTTCACGAACATGAGTATTATTTTTATTTAAACATTCCTTCGAACCTCTATGGTCGCCATATTTTTTATCGTCTTGTTTTTTGTCATCACCATTATGCTGAATATTGTTTGGTGTAATTGAATATGTAGAAGATGTCCTTTGCCAATTATTTGATCTGTTAACACCTCTACCACGTACAGACTGGTTTCTAGGATACGGCTTATTCATATTATTATTTTCATTTTGTTGATTTTGATTATCTATGTTACCATACAATTTTACTCTCGACATTTTATCAAACTTGTCAATAGTTTCCAGCACTGTCTTTTTTTCATCACCAACCCAGATATTTGAAGATCTAAATTCATCAATTTTTGAAGATAAAATTCTTAAAAATTGTTTGGGTTTGAAGCCGCCAGTGGTAACTCTAAACAGTGGATAAGCAAACTAAAAAAAAAATGAAAAATTAATTTTAAATAATACTACTATTATTGATATGTATGTACTATAATTTAAAAAACTAACAATTAGATGACGTTTCTTAAAAGTAACATCAATATCTTGATCCATGTACAATTTTAAGTAGCGCATCAATTCTTTAGGATTATCTTCAACAAAATATAAGTACATTAAAACTTGTGATAAGATAATCAATCTCCGTTTTGCACTAGTGAACACTTCATAAATCAATTTCAGTGATTGGACGAAAGGATACTTATGAACTGGCTGCAAAAGACATTCAACCTTTACGAGTTGTATGGCACTGCTGAAATGTCCCCCTGACATTCCTCGTGATAAATACTCCTTGGCTTTCTCATAGTCCTAAAAAAAATGTTGACAATATTTTATTTACTATAGTTTTATTTAAAAAATGTGTTTTACTTTTTCATGTTTGAGATAATATTTTCCTAAAACTGCATCGATTCTACTATTTTTCGAATTGCTTAATTTCTGTATTATTTCATTGATTGCTGTATTTGAATGGAACTCTTTTGGGAAATCAATGCAAGTCAATAGACACGAATGAAGTTGTTTTAAATTTTCTCCCGCTAATTCAACTGCTTTACTACATTACAAATAAGAAAAAATAGTTTTAAATAAATGACAAAATACTATTCAAATGTTTTGATACACTTTGTTAATGTATACAAATGATTTTGTTTATGAACAAATTCTTACAATGTAAGATCTGAAGAAATCTTATAATATTTATTTGATTCTTCTGGTTTGCGCTCCAGTTTATTAACAAATGCAGCTTCTATAAAAATTTTAGATGCTTGTATTAAGTACTGTGGGTTATTGGTAGCTGAGCTCAAAATTTCTGCAGCTTCCAGCTCATTTTTATCAGGCATTGCAAATTGTGCATAAAACCTTCTGACTCTTCCTTTAGCTTTTAGCCAGATGTTCACCCATTCAACCTCGATTGGATTTAGATTTCGAGCCTGCTCGGCCAGTTCAAGCGAAATTTCATTTCCGATTGGAGGGTATTCTACAAACACTTTAGATTTAATTGCACATAGTGCTGCTTTTTCTGAACGGTTCATATTTGATAGAGGTTTAATGCTTTTGAGAATCTAAAAATAAGTGATACAAACTTTGTAATTAGTATTTATTGCACAAAACCATAATAATATTAATTGGGGATCAATGCATTTTTTAAAAAATGATCACAAAATAACTGGAGTTGGTTTAAAAATGAACAAAGAAATACAAAGACAGTTAGTTTGAATTTTTCGGTATCACGGTATCAATAACTATTTATTTGAATTTATTACACAGTAATAATAATTAGGTATTAATATAAAAAAGTTACCTCTTCACAACCATCATTTAGCGTAGCTAAAATATAAGCTTGAGTAGAATGAGCAATGTGAAAACATACACTCGAATACTGGTCATAATGGGTATCAAATTTTTTTGTTTCCATTGAATAAATTAAATTTTTAATTTCTAATAATGACTCTTCGTATTTACCCTCTCCAAATAACTCATAACATATTATCAATTGTAAATGGAATCTATAGGGAAAAAAATGTTTTATTTAATAACAGATACTCTTATAAATTACCATAATATATGAATTAAATTATATATTATATTATATTCCTGGTTTCTACTATATTACTAGCATCTGCTCGATCAACAATTAGATGGTAGATTCTTAATCTGGATGATTCAGACTATTTCTAATGTTTGTTTGAGATGTCACTGAGAGCAATTTTATGTTTTTAGATATGTGCTATATACAAAACATACTTGCTTGAAACTGCTCTTCAATGAGTTATTATTTTAATTAAACATTTTCTTGTGTACAACAAAATAATTAAATAATGTAGGTTGCTATTTGAAAATAATAACATGAGCACCAATATTATTTATAAAGGAAATATCTCCCTATAAATATATATATTATTTTAAGAATTAAAAAAAAAGAATTCTTCGAAAAATTGTTAGTAAACAATAACCTTATGACTTAAGTTTAACTTATTATATTTTTGAAATCATAATTGAATATTTATATTTGTAACACAATATTACTATTATAACTTATTATTATTGTTTATTCCTATAACTCACTACATTTTAGATGTCTAAATTTCATACTTAACATCGTTAAGTCACTGTCGGAAATTTTAAATTATATCTTTAGAACCCTTTGAGTAGAATGCTATATTGAAATATAATAAAATACATAGTATAATATTTTCATTTTATTACCTGTTAAATTCTATTGTATCGTCATTTTCATTGATAAACATTTCATTTTTTTCCATTATTTTATCAATGAGATTTGAAAGGAGATTTTGTTGACTACCAGTTTTTTCTTTAACATCCCATGAGAAGATACTCTCATAGTCATTTTTTATTTTATTCAACATTTCTTGCGAATCACAGTCCAGTTTTTGATTGCTCACTTTAATGTCCAAATTTGTAAACGAGTCGACTATGTTATCGTCATTTAGGCAATCAGCCATTTTAACTACAGTCGATTCAAAGCTAAATATATAAATAAAAATGTTTTTATATTGCGGATTGCCAATGGTATATAAAAAATTACTTACGAAGCTATTTATTACAATGAAGTAATTGTAAATGGATCTACACAAAATATACAATGATTATGAGTAATTAGTAGAGACTAATGTCAGCAGTATGTAGAACGGGTATGTAGAATTCGATAGTATAGTAAACTAAATCATATTGAATTGTAATAATATTTGTCATAATTCATATAATACACAAAAAAATAAAATATATATATATATATATATATATATATATATATATTCATCACAAACACGATTATAATGGATTTGTATGATCGTGTAAATAAATGGTGATAACTTCTAACACAGATAAGGTTTTTTTTGTATGGACGTTATATTTTTGTTTCCATGCCATGCCATACACCGCATTTTTTTTTATTTACATCTCAAATAAAACTATCAAAGAGAAATAATTTACAAAGCGAAAATTCTAAATTTAAATTTGCAACGTAAGGATCAATACTGAAATAATATTTATAGTGTGTAGATTGACGTAAGGTTATTGTACGATGTTTATGTCGACTACTATCAAATAATAATATGTTCTTTGATTGTCAGTAGTAATTACAACATTCTTGGGAGAGCAAAATGACAATAATATTTTCAATATATTCTTATTCTCATATTCATTATAATGTTCTTCAATGTTTCTTTTGAAAAAATGATAAAATAAATGCAGATAGAAAAGGATCTCAAAGAAAAAATATTGTGCTATCAAAAAATTGTCACTTTCTCATAATTTTTTTACTAGTGTACTTTAACTATAGTAAAACTAATATTAATTTTACTATGAATTTACCTGCCCCTATTTAAGCGACCAATTATTTTATTTGATGCAAAGATATATTTTCATAATAGTTTAGCGATCACGATGTATAATCAAATATCATATCAAGTTCATCGATAAAAAAAATGTGTTCAAAATATTATTTCTGATGTACTAATGAAACATTTTTTTTTCTACTCAACAGTAAAGAAATTTTCTGATAAAGAATTAAATTAATTTATATTTTGTCTATTCTGTGCCATAAATTTTAGTGTTTTTCCTAATACAAAGACTGAAAACCAAACAAATTTTTTTAATTTATTTTATTTTATTTGTCGATTTAATTAATTATTATATACAGTTTTATAATCGACAATTGTTGGCAGGCCAATATCTTAAATTAAAATGTATGTCGTGGTCAAGTTAGATAAGGCAGAGTAACAACGGTTTCATGTTCAAAGTATAAGTAAAACACATAATTTGTGAAAGTATATCCGTATATTGTACATACCTTATTCGCAAATAATAATTTAAAGAGTATGCCAACATAATACGTTTTGATAATACACTTTTTTATTAAATCAAAATACTTGAAATAGAAAAATAATAATAACAATAATTAATTAACAGTCAAAAATTTAAGTATTCAATTATCGCATGAGACAATTTATAATCGTGTCCAATTTTTTAGTAAAATATTACCTGATTTGTTACAATATTAAAGTAGCATTCATTATAAAATTTTAAATTTCGATATATATAAAAATAGAAATATGGTATAATATAGGTGATAAAATAATAACATTTTTATAACAACCAACTTGTAAACATTTATAATCATGAATATAAATATTTTTATGAATTTACATAAGTGAATTTCATATAGCTTAAAAGCTGTACACTTTTTTTTTTACACATAACTTGTGTAACAACGTAATTAATAATGGATTTACATAATAAAACAATTTAAGTAGTTATCATATTTGTTAAAATTATGATTCAAATTAAATATGTTCCGTTAGATTTTAAAAATGTTGGTACAATAAAAAAATCATAATACAACTTTGGATAACAGTTAACAAGTAAATATATTATTATTAACTTAACAAATTAATGTTGATGTAACTACACTGCGACACAATGGGCACTGTGCCGTACTGCTTAATTGCTCCCAACAAGATTTGCAAAGACAACGATGACCGCAAGGTCTAAGTACAACACGTGCAATATCAATCTCCAGACAAACGACACAAGTAAGAGCGTCAACAATGTTTTGTTCCGCTGAAAATAATTGTTTAAAATAATTTAATGATACTCATACCAGCAATCATTTATTGATTTTTACTATAAATACATTTTAATACTATACTTTACTTACTATACTATACTATATTATACTATACTATACTATACTTTTACTATTATGTACTGTAATAAAAAATATTAAACACGCACTTCGTTCTGGATTGCATGTAGCAGTAAACCTAGACAACACTCTTTCTAAAATTATCTTCTCATTGGAATCCCAATTGGGATGAAGTTTTAGATTTTCTATTTCCCTTGTCAATAAATTCAAAAATGTTTTTGGATTAAATTTTTTTTTCAATTGGTATAATGGAAAAGTAGCCTAAAAAATAATCAAATAAAAACAGTTAAAAATTCTAAAACGCACATTATGATAAAATAGTTTTTCCTCAATTAAAATCAGCAGTTTTTATAATTAGATTGTACTTCAGATTAGCAGTATCGCTTAGCATGCAATTAAGGGTTAACAATAATAATGTGTCATTTTAAATCAAAATAATTTAATAGCATAATTACATTGATATGATGTTTTTTCTGTAAATTATCAATATCTTGATCCAAGTAAACATCCAAAAAATGCAATAACTGTTTTGGATTACTTTCATTGTAGATATAATATAAAAGTATTTGTGAAATGATAATAAGTCTTCTTTTAGGTTCAGTAAATACATCATACAATGAATTTAAAAATTGTACAACTGGGAATTTTGAACTTAGTAAGCATTCAACTTTCAATAAATGCAATGAACTTGTAAAATTTCCACTCGAGACTGCTCTTTCCAAGTGATGTTTAGCCGCATTATAATCCTTGAAAAAAATGTATGAAAAATTAAAACAAATTTCTAACATATAATTAAACAATTTTTAAACATACTTTTTTGCGTTTCATGAAATATTTTCCTAAAATTGCATCAACTCTAAAGTTTTGAGTTTTACTAAGTTTTTTAGCTATATTATAAATCATATCTGCAGACATGAAATTCTGTGGAAGATCCATGAATATTTCGAGACAATTATACATAGTTTTTATGTCATCTTTGTCCATATTGTATGCTTTTCTAAAAATAGGAATAACAATAAAAAAAAGGATACAAATTAGAATATTAATATTTAAATATTTGAGGTGGGAAAAACATTATTTTATATAAAAATATTGTCTCCAAGTAAATAATGTGTGTATAGGATATTAAAATCTAAAAACTTACTCACACTGCTAGAGTTGAAGCTAATTTATAATAATTATCAGATTCCAAACAATTGGAACTTAATTTAAGAGCAAAGCCTGCTTCCTCATAAAGTTTAGATGCTCTAATCAAAAGTTCAGGATCTGTTAAGGTTGTACTTAATTTTTCTGCAGCCAGAAATTCTTCTCTGAACGGAAGTGTAAACTTGTTGTCAAATCTTCTTTCACGACCTTTAACTTTTAACCACATGTCAATCCATTTTACTTCATTATCATTCAGATTTCGAGCCGATTCAGCAAAGTTTAAAGCAATTTTGTTGCCAGCTGGTGGATATTCCATGAATACTTTACACTTAACAGCATTTATAGCTGCTCTTTCAGCTCTATTCATTTGAGAGAGTGGTTTAATTTTTGAAAATATCTATTTAACAAGAACACAATACCATTATTTGTATACTAAAAGCAATATATGAATAGATAGCGGGTTTCTTGGAAGATTGAATTCTTCTACTATATTCTTTTTAATGCATCTTAACTAATTTTTTTAAAAAAGTGAAACTAATAAGCAAAAAAATGCCAAGACATTTTTTTCATATGTATTTGCATTTGTCTACTATTTTTTATCCGACTCATGCACTGATATCGTTTTTTACATACATGTGCTAATAAATAAAAGGCATCATGATCACATAATACACTAGTCTGTAATATATCTGTTTAATCCCACACGCTATGAAACAATACAACTATTGTTGACTTTACCCTAGTAGAATTTTTTTTCAGTTTAAGTATAATTTTAAGTTACAAATAGATATAATTTTATTTTTATTTCATTAATCTTAAAAATTACCTCTTTTATGTTTTGATCCATATAAATCATAATGTAAGCTTGAGAAGCGTATGTAATATGAAAACAAGCATCTGAAATTTGATTGTAAAAGTCATCTGAATGCACTTGTTTTAAGTTGTTTATCATGCCTTCAATTTCAGATAATGCTTGTGAAAAGTTGCCATCCAAAAATGTTTCAAAACAATGGATTAGTAGCAAATAAAATCTAAATATAAAAAATGTTTATAATATACTTAAAAAATGACAAATGTTATACAAAATTAATATGTGTACAATATATATTTATACATAAATTATCTACCCATCAATACTGAATTTGTTTTTGTTTATGAAGACAAGTTCAATTTTTTGCTCGATTTTTTCTATTATTTCAGCCAGCTTATTTCTACTTTTGCCAGTCTTTTCATAGACATCCCACGAAAATATAGTCTCGTACTGTCGTTTAAGCGTTGATAATTCATTGGGACGATTAGTCAGATTTTCATGACTATCATTCAAGTTCAAATTATTAAGACTATTGGCCAAAACAACAGGACTCGATACAGTAGCCATTTGAATGATTCAATGTAAATGTTTAATTAGGGTGAAATCTATTTTATAAATCTTATTCAAAATCTATATTGGTTGGTTCATTTGAGGACTTGTGTGTGTTAGTTAACATAACTGAAAAACAAAAACAAAAAACCATTAGAATTTTAAACTATTCAACAATGTAAAGCTGTATCAAAACCGAACCGATCTAATGGTTTTATAACAATTTACACCATAATATTATTACATGGCATTGTTGAGAAGAAATTCAACCTAAACGTGAGATTTACTTAACGCTAATACGTTTTTATTCAAAATGATAAATGTCCAAAAATATTATGTGTCACAGGCAATCTCCATCATAAAGTACAAAATATAATCATCTAATGATATGTTCTGTTTAAAAGAAAATAATACTTAACTATATAATATTAAACATTTTTGTTAAATCACGATTATCGCAGTTAATTTACATTAGTTTTGAAGCGAGCAGACTGTCAAATGTCAATATACTTAACTATTTAAACGGATTATAGGTACAGAAATCAGTAGAAAACTAGTAACACTACTGCCTGCTGTGCTGATTACAAATATTATACGATATGTATCTGTGATATATGTATATGTATACTGATAAGTAATAACAATACAATGTTTTGAATTACTTTCTGGCGCCTCTATTGAAAAAACATTAAAAAAAATTTAGATGGCTAGACCGTATTTAGTGATGGAAATTTTAAAATTTTAATTTATCTATTTTTTTAAATCTTTGTAGGAAATTGGAAAGTTTGAAAATTCCTCCGTGTCCTAAACGGTCGATTTCAAATTTGTCATAAGAAAAAGAGTCATGTACATAGATTAGTGATGGGATTCTTAAAATCCGCATTTTTACAAAAAAAACACTACTTTGCAAATGAAAACTTTTACAAGTATAAAATATTACAATATAAAGAAGTAAATATTTTTGATGAAAATGTAAAATTAAAACACAACCCCAAATAGATAAATTGCTTTTGGATCTGTTGAAGTCCGAAAATAATTTATAGTTAAAGTTAAGCGATTTTTTTAAATTTTCATTAAAACATTTTACTTAGATTCACAGATTATACTATAATAACATTTAATATTTATAAGATTATTAAGTGGATTAAATAGCGTTTTTCTGAAATCCAGACAAATTTGGACAAAAAAAAAATATATATATATATATATTATAAATTTAAAAACACGTTTTTACTTAAAACTAAATTAAATTCAAAATAAATATATGTAACAATATAAACTTGTAATCGAAGGTATAAAATATAGCTTTCATTAAAATATTTTAATAATTTAACAATTTCTATTATATTTATACATTACATTATTTCTTTTTTAAATATCTAACTTTATCTGAAATATTAGTTTTAGTTTAAGAGAATAATTTCTTCATTTGTTTGGTGTGGCTTCTGTAAATATTGTTTTCTGGTTCTTGACATCGGTAAGGATTATTCTCAGTAATTTTTAGCATTACCTCGTATACTTCTGCAGTATTTATCATATGTTGCTCCTTGAGGATGTCCTGGAATACCACATATCCACAACTCGGCTAATCTTGATGTAAATATCAATCTCATTATTTCAACAACTTTAGCAGTCTTTATGGGATCTTCGTGTTGAAATGCAAAATATCTGTAGCTTATTTTCTCATATTCCTTTTTCAACTGTCTAAATATTTTTTCAAAAACTTCATAAGTTTCATTACATTTTTCTATTATACATATTATTTCTTCATATCCAATTGTGTACTTATAAACATTTTCTTAATTGTGTATAATATCATTTATTAGACTAAAAAAATAAAACAATAAATTAATTGAAACAAAACAAATACCAGCTTATATCATTATTAACAGGGATTGCTTATTCCCAGGGGTCTTTTATTATTATTGTTGTTAATATTATTATTAGCACCACTAATTCAAACATGATGAACTTGGTGAACTATTTTTTTTATAATCATGCTTTTTTTCATTATCATCATGCTGGTTATCGATTGATTTATTTATACATTCAGAAGATTCTCTATAACTAACACGCCAATTATTTTGTTTTTTTCTGCCTCTACCACGCCAATAGTTATTTTCCTGATATTTCATTTTCATATTATTATTTTCATTTTGTTGGCTCGGTTTATCTTTGTTTCTATAAATTTGTACTCTCGACATTCTATCAAACTTATCAACAGTTTTTAGTACTGTCTTTTTTTCGTCAGCATCCCCCCAGATGTTTGAATGTTTATATTCTTCAATTTTTGAAGATAAGTTACTTAAAAATTGTTTTGGTTTGAAGTCACCAACAACTCTAAACAATGGGTAACAATGGGTCTGAAACACAGTAAAGTTTTAGTAATATTTAAAATGTATTGATAGTTATTAATCAAACATTCAAATTTTTAAATATGAATTTTTTCAATCCAAATATTTAAACTTTTTAGTTGTTAAAATTAAATCAAAATCCTAAAATTTACTTATTAAATTTAAATTAACTCACAATTAGTTGTCGTTTCTTTAAAGTATCGTCAATATCATGATTGATGTACAATTTTAAGTAGTGCATCATTTCTTTAGGATTATCTTCAATATAATAGAAGTATAATATTATATGTGATAAGATAATCAATCTTCGTTTTGCAGTAGTGAATGTTTCATAAATCAAATTTAGTGACTGGACGAAAGAATACTTATGAACTGGCTGCAAAAGACATTCGACCTTTACAAGTTGTATGGCACTGCCAAAATGTCCCCCTGACATTCCACGTGATAAATACTCTTTGGCTTTCTCATAGTCCTAATAAAAATTCAAACAATATTTTATTTACTATAACATTAATTTACAAATGAGCATTACTTTTTCATGTATAAGATAGTATTTTCCCAAAATTGCATCAACGTGACTGTTTTTTATATTGCTTAATTTCTGTATCATTTTATTAACTGCTTCGTTTGAATAGAACTCTTTGAATAACTCTTTTGGGAAATCGATTAAAATCATTAAACATGAATGAAGGCATTTTACATTTTCTTCCCATAACTCAGCTGCTTTACTACAATACAAATAAACAAAAATAGTTCTTTATAAACAACAAATGAGAGCTAAATAACAGAATATTAGTGAAATTTCTATATTCATATCAATTTATATGAAAGATTTAGTTCATGAAAATTATATGACAAATACTTACAATGTAAGATCTAAAGAAATCTTATAATATTTATTTGCTTCATTTGGATTGCCCTCCAGTTTAAAAACAAAGGCAGCCTCCAAAAAAACTTTAGAAGCCGTTATCAAATTATTTGAAGGTTCTTTTGCTGCACTTAAACATTCTGCTGCCTCCAACTCACTTGGATCAGGCATTGCATGTTGTTGTTTAGAATAAAATCTTATTTATTTGATTCTTCTGGTTTGCGCTCCAGTTTATTAACAAATGCAGCTTCCATAAAAATTTTAGATGCTTGTATTAAGTACCGTGGGTTATTGGTAGCTGAGCTTAAAAATTCTGCTGCTTCCAGCTCATTTTTATCAGGCATTGCAAATTGTGCATAAAACCTTCTAACTCTTCATTTAGCTTTAGCCATACGTTCACCCATTCGACCTCAACTGGATTGAGATTTTGAGCCTGCTCGACCAGTTTAAGGGCAACTTCATTTCCTATCGGAGGGTATTCTACAAACACTTTAGATTTGATTGCACAAAGTGCTGCTTTTTCTGAACGGTTCATATTTGATAGAGGTTTAATGCTATTGAGAATCTAAAAATAAGTGATACAAACTTTGTAGTTAGTATTTAATGCACAATACAATAGTAATAATAATTGGGGATCAATATATTTTTTAAAAGATGATCACAAGCTTACTGTAGTTGGTTTTACAATGAACAAAGAAAGTTAGTTGGCATTTTTTGGTATCATGGAAGAATAATTGCTATTTAGCTTGACACAGAACCAGCCAATAATTCGATCATAAACATTTATATATCAACTTAATGTCATAAAAAAGAGTAAGTTGAATAAATTTACCAGCAAATATGCAAAAATCATAAAATTAGAAACTAGAATGCTTTAATGAGAGAACAAAAAGTATCAGGATTTTTTTTATTGGGTAAACGAAGTCTAGGAAGAGAAAGGTTGATATAGTTCTGCAAAGAACAAAACAAGATCATTAAAAATACGTTCTCACAACCAAAACAAAGATGATACACGTGGGTACTATGCCAGGAGGTGGAACTAAATATCAACTAGATTACAAAGGTCAACTAGATTGCAAAGGGCACAATACAAGGGTATAATCTATCAGCTACTTTACACAATTCATACAAAGAGCAAGTTTTGAAAGAATTGAGGAAAGAGAATATTGGAGAAATTAAGATTGGCTAAATGTCCTCTAAATGTCACCTCTGTGCAGACTTAGTTCTAATTCATTAAGTCTATTAATTATCAGAGCTAGAGAGGCTGACTTGGTAAAAGCAAAACCTCACAAAGTGTTAATGTTAGCATTATAATTTGGCAGTATGGATCTCTAAACACTGCAAACAATTACCTTTTCAGAAACATTGTGTAGCATAGCTAAAACAAATGCTCGAGTAGAAAGTGCAATGTGAAAACATACACTAGAGTACCGATCATAAAGTTCATCCAATTTTTTTGTTTCCATTGAATGAATTAAATTTTCAATTTCTAATAAAGACTCTTCGTGTTTTTCGTCGTCAAATAATTCATAACATAACATCAATTTTAAATGAAATCTAAAAAAAAAATGTTGTATTAATACTATTAAATATTTATCATAAAGAAATAATATTAAAAAAAAAAATTATAAAACAGTCATATAAACAATTATGCTGCTTATATAAACAATTATATAAGCAGTCTATGGACTATATTTCATTACTTTATAAAAAAATGTTTACTATGAGGTAGCTTAAAAAAAGAAAAATAATTTGTCTTGAAAAGTTAATTTTCAACTCAAATATTCTACAGTTATTACATCCTTTTAAACAACTAGATCAATATTAAAAATCAATTTTGATCACCTTTTAAATTCTACTACATCGCAATCTTCACTGTCATGAATTTCAATTTCTCTATTGTTCTATCAATATTACTGAACAGGGGAACTGGATCACTACCAGTTTTTTCTTTAATATCCCATGAAAAAATACTCTCATAGTAATTTTTTATTTTATTCAATATTTGTCGCGAATCACTGTTCATTTCCCGATTGTTTTGTCTAATGTTCAAAGTATCAAACGAGTTGACTACAATGTCATTATCATTGTTTAGACAATCAGCCATTTTGATCAATCGATTAAATCTAAAAAACAAACAAAAATGTTTCATTCCTGAATTAGTTTATGAAAAATTATTTACGAAGCGAACGAGTTAATGTCACCTTATGAAATTCAATTAATTTTGTATAGTGATTAAAAATGAATCTGTAAAAATAATTATGTGTGTACAACTATTAACTAATGGATACTTAAGTTCATAAAACCGTCAAATATATTATAATTAATACACATTATCAGTGATCAGTTCATTATCACCATGGTAATCACACCATGGTAAAAATAACTTCTAATAAATTGTTTTTTCTTTTCAATAATTTTTAATCATTCATGAACGATGGTAAAGAATTTGTTATTGTCCATGTTAAATGTATGCGGGATCCACTCCACCGTTATCAGTTGCCCGGTTAAAAAAATAA